CCCCAAAACCCCAAAACCCCAAAACCCCAAAACCCCGTGTTCGGAGGGTGAGGTTGAAGGGAATTTTAAGGAAGGGGTAAGGGGAGATTGGGGGAGTTAGGGGAAGTTTTAGGAGGGGGATGTGGGTTATTTAGTAGCAATACAGATTATTTGTTCGAAGTCAGGCATTTCTGAGGTGTCTGGGCCGTATTTTTGGGTAAATTCTTGGCAGATTTGGTCCCAAAGTTCGGTTTTATTTGGTTCGGTGAGGTTTTCTTTCTGTGCAAAATCTTCAAAGTTGCCTTTGACCATGATGTTAAGGAAATCTTCTGGGTATTTGTGAGCCATTGGAAGATTTACAACAATATTTTTGCAGACCTTAAAGCCTGCTGTCAGGATATCTTTTCTTAGATCTACAGGGTCGCTAAGACAGAAAGACTTTTCTGCTGATAAATCAGTTTCATATCCTAGCTTCTTCAAAGTTGTTTGAAGGAAGGTAAAACAGTTATTTCTAGATTTATCTCCCCAAACTGAAAATCCAGCTTTACAGCCTGGCTTCAGAACTCTGTAGGCTTCCAAGAGCTGGTTGTGATGATTATCTACAATATGCATCGAGAAATTAGATATGTAGCAATCAAATTCCTCGTCTGGGAATGGTAAGTCTTCATTATTCGCTTTTAGAATGACTATCTTCTTTTTATCTTCTTCTGCTTCAGGAGCTTTGTAACTCTCTTGATGGTCAAGATCATATCCAGTGGACCCAAGATTCTCTTTAAATATTTTAATCATATTGTCGCTGATATCTGTGTTAACATAAACAGCTCCTTTTTGCATGAAGCTTTGAGAGAACATAAGGGCGCTTCTACCAGTCCCTACTCCTACTTCAAGGATTTTATTGCTAAATTTATAACTTGAGCTTACCATTTATCGGCAATAGTGTGATGATAGAGCATCATTGCACCAGTGCAGGTATGTACTTCAGGACCCTATGATTTAAAAGTAAACATTATACACCTATACAGCATTAGAAATACATTTACTTCTAAAGAAAGCTGCCATCTGGTCCCACTGCTTTTCAATCTTAAGGCTTGCCTCTTGGTCGACTTCTTGTTTTTCCATTTTAGTTATTATATCTTATAAATATTTGGTGACTTATATGGGGTTTTGGGGTTTTGGGGTTTTGGGGTTTTGGGG